GGGGGGGGACTCAGCCCTTCACTGGCCACCCCAAGGCCAAGCATGTCCCTCAATGCAAGAATCATTGCACATTCCTGTTAACAAAATATTGATCATCATTGGCCTGCAGTTATTCCAATTCGCTTGCACATCCATGTACCTACCCACATCTAAAGTCTGCTCTGTAAGTTTTATCCTTCCATGTCAGCCTAAATTGTCAATATAACTCAAAAATATCAAGTGTCCCTGAAATAATAGAAGGTACCTAGAGCTCATAATTGAATCAATTTAAAGAAAAGTATGCAGTTTTGTTTCAGTTCTTTTGCAGAAGAGTTCCAACAATTCTCTGGTAAACTGAGTTGGGAATCATTCAGTGCCTATGAGAGCCTGGATACAATGAGGCTTTGTTGCTAGTTACAGTAATATTCAGTCTTACTTGACTATTGTACAAATTAATTAGAGAGACTGTTGACCTTCTCCTTTACAGATGTAGTTGACTTTTCAAACTCCCATGATGTAGCTTAGCATTCTTAAATATCTGAAGAGCAAAACAGTTACTCTGCAATTTTGTCTATAAGTGAACCTCCTCCAACCTTGGGTTCTCCAGATTAGCTGGATCTTATTCCTAGGTAGAATAGGAAGGCTGGGAATTGAAGATTCAGCCTATCTGGGAGGCAGTGGGGTAGAGAAAGCTGTCTAATTAGTTCTGTCATTAATATATGACACCCTTAACAACTTTGTATTTTGTGAAGAGGTGATCAGTAAAATAGAATGATAGTGTGGGAATTTTCCATTTCTTGGCCATGTACCTGCATGGATATGTATGAGGATTCTTTTTAAAGAATTCCTGTGGGCAGTTGTTAATCCAAACATCTTCTTGATGGAGTATTTACAGATCACATCCAGAAGCAAATTGCCTTTCAAGTCTTAAAGAACTTGCCACTGAAGTATCTTCCTAGATCCAAATGTCCTTTTGTGCCTATGCAGTTGTAATAAATAATTCTAGGCCAACAGAATCTGTTAGCTTCTCCTAAAGAAACATAATTATTTTTAAATGACAAAACTGGACCCTTTGTTGATAAATGTTTCATATCCTGGCTGCTATGCTTGAATAACTTGTGTAAATAATGTATTAGCTCACGAATGGACTTAGCACATTCTAGCACATGCTGGCCAGCATAAAAAAAGAATGCTAAAAGGAAAGATGTTTGATCCTGCAAGGTGCTAAGCACCTTTTAGTACTGAAGGAAGTCAATATGGGGGGAATGGTGGAGTTCGCATCCACATTTCAGCATCTCACCAACCCTGTGTGATTTGAATGATCCAAATATTCAAAAGAGAGATGAAGCTAAACAGCATTAATGCAATCACTTTCCTATACTCTGGATGGGAAATTGAAATCTTTAATTCCTATACTTTCTCCCCAAAGATTGTGAAGTTTCCTAATCAGCATCTCTTCCCTATGCTCCAGAAAATAATAAAAATATAGACCTACGATGATTGGGAACACTTCCATGTGGCCACTAAATATAATTTTAGCTAATTGTGGGTTCTCTATCCCATACTTTCCCCTAATCTTATGCTGTCTAGATGGTTTGGACTATAACTGCTATCATCCTGTGCCTATCTAGACAATACTTGGAGCTGGGTAGAGTTGTCATCCTTAGCGTGTGAGTGGAACCAGGTTGGGAAGAAGCAATCCTAGGGAAGTTTTGTAGTGTCACAACTGAACTAGATTTAGCATGGTGTAGAATTTTACTCCCTTGGTCAGCATTAGCTGACTTCCATATCCGTGACTATTTTTTTTTTCAACTAGCAATGTTAGTATTGCACGATGTGTAATTTAGCTCAGTCACTTGGTGATAATTTTCTCTGCAAGTATTTCTTTGCATTGTACAGTATCTGTTCTCGACATGTGGCTCAACTGTTGTCTGGATATCATGAGTTGGTCTTGTACTAGACTTGGATAAAACGGTCTTCTTTTTTATACTTCTGAGATTTTAAGAATATTCCAGGATGGTTAAATGTAAGCAGAGATTCATTGTTCCTCTTGCCATGGCATAAACCTTAGTTTTCAAAGAAGCAAATGCAACTTAGACGTCACATGCTGCCCTCTATATGTTTGGGTTGTAGCCTCCATAGCCCATGATCATTTGCCATAGTGGACTTACGGAAGTTGTAGCAAAAACATCCAGAAAGGACCCGTTTGCCCACTCCTGTCCTAGTGTCCTGAGAAGGGAAGCAATGCTGATCAATCATTTTCTACCATTTTATTTTATGTCAATTTTATTCTGATTAAGAGCTGGTTCATTCCAACAGCAAAAGGGACACACATTTTATTTTGTGTTCAGTGTTCTCTGATTCTGTGTTCTTGAACTTCTCTTCCCCATTCTTTACTGCAACTTAATCTCTAGCCGCAGCGTTGTATGGAAGTAAATGAGGTTTACAGTGTTTGCAGGTTGAAATTTTTCTGTCTGTTGTGAGAAGTGATAGAGTAGCCATACTCACTTTATGCTGTTGATCAAAATGTGACTGTAGAGTCTGCTGAAAAAGTAGATTCAGTAAAATAGGTCAGTAATAGGGAAATCTCTGCATTGCCAACATGGGGAAGGATAATAGCTCAGAGGTGAAGTATATGCTTTGTATGGTAAGAATCCCAGATTTCACCTCTGGCATCTTGAAGTACATTGATGAAGGACTCTGAGTCCTTGGGAATCTGCTATCAGTCAGGGAAGACAGTACTGAGTTACTAGGTCTGGTATTTTGATGAGATCAATCCATTTCTGTGCCCTAAAACAGGATTCCTCAACCTTGGGGACTTGAAGATGTGTGGACTTCAACTCTCAGAATTCTGGGGCTTGAAGTCCACACATCTTCAAGTCCCCAAGGTTGAGGAACCCTGCCCTAAAACACATTGCTCTCTAGATTATGATTCCCATAATCCCTCACCACTGCCCTGTAGGCTGGGGATAATGTAACTCGGTCC